AATTAGCGTTTTTAATTAATACCTCAGATAATTCAAGTCGTTCGAAGATGATAATGGTCGGAATGCCTTCAACGAATTTGTGGAATTGGGAATAATATATTTAATGTTGGGCAACGCTATATTTATTTCATATTTAACTTAATAATTTTTCATTAAGAAACTCTACGATTTGAAAGCCAGCAGTGGCAACACTTTTCGCAATGAAGCAGATTTTCAGTTCCAGCGTACAAAATTGCTGCCACTCGGAAAAATGTGTTCGAAACTTAGCGTTTTTCCGAGCTTTTAATTAATATTGAGGCTAATTAAAGTCGTACGAAGAGGAAAATGAAAATGGTCGAAATCGTTTACCTCTCTCGAAGCTCAACTCTCCGCCATTCCAAAACCAAATGCTAAAAAAAAAACTGTCAGACAGATGTGTACAGATTTTAGTAGTATAGATAAAGTATTATAAATGTAAGTATTTTTAAGAAAGTTAAATAAAAAGTAGGTTTTTAGTATTTTTTAAAAAGTTAAGCAAAAATCAGGCTTTTGTTTTCAATTAGGTCAGACAATTTGAATTCCGCTAGAGAAATGCAAATATTGCGCAAATGTAGTGTTATATAAATATAGTGAAAGGCATTCAAATTATAATATTTAGTTATTATGTGGAGGATGCTGAGTTGAATATCACAAGTGACAAAGCAAAATATATATTGTATTTTGAAAATATGCCTGAGCGTAAGTCCAGAGTGACCGATTAGAAGAAGTCAAGCTAAAAATTTCCTTTAGCAGGTTTTTTTTTTTTTTTTTTTTTTTTTTTTTTTTTGTTGCCTTTAATTAAGATTCTGTGCCAAAAGGATTTTCTCTCTGCTGTTTCTTGTGTTGATATTTAATTAAAAATCTGCCTAAAGGATTTCCTCTTTGCGATTTTTTCCTGCCTTTTAATAAGGACTCTCTGTCTAATAATGTTATTAATATGAGATAAAATATTAGATATGCTATATTATTTCTTAATGTAGCTGCAATATATATATACACTTAACTCCAACATATATCAGTTTTAGCAGAAAATAAAACTACGAGAAAGAAAATTTGCTATTTTAATAAATCTACGAAGACTTGAGGTTTATAATCTAAAGAGAATGTCCGTGCAATCCCGTCACTGGGATGAATACAAGGTTATCATTAATTCTCCTTTATGTTGACTCGAAATTCATGAAATAGCATGGCAAAATCTGATCTGAAATCATTGCAGCAATTAGAAGCATCAATAAATGACTGAATTACTTCTATAAAAATTTGTAATCTCGCCGAAGGAGTAGGAAATTTGTCACTTTTGTTACTGCATTCCACCGTGATGGCATTTTAAAATTCCTTTCATTGCTATGCTGTTTAAACCAAACTCGTTTATGTTGTTTAAACCAAACTCAACTATTAAACCCTGACCATGTAAACTAAACACACTGCCCTCCAAAAATTAACGAAACAGCATGTTTTTTGTATCTATATTGTGAATAAAGCAACATAGAAGCAAGAAATTTACAGGACATGTTCACTAAATAGTTCTCTGACCCAAAGATACTCTACCGAATTCAGGGGATTGGGCTGGCCATTCCATCCGCTCCATACCGTGACCCTCAAGATATTCTTCAACCAAAACCCTATGCGGTCGGCATTGTGTCTTTCCACAATGTTGAATTGGTTGCATCTGTTGCGTTGTTCCCTCCAGATCAGATGACGACGTGAATCAGTCTCCAAAGTCAACCTGGAGTAGTCTGCGAAGAGAACAGACACCAATAGCTGACTGGTACAAGAGACGTGTTCTCTTGCCCAACATAAACTAGCAGCTCTGTGTCCTCTGGTCAAGGGGACACAACACACAACAACTGATCGTCTTCGATACAGAGTGCAGTGTAGTAGCTGAGATTCTTGTCCCTGTTGCCACAAAATGATCTGCCATGAGCTGAGGCACAGTAATGGTATTCCTTCTTTGGGCTGAAAGAGCTAAATAACGTTCTCCTGCAGATGTTGTAACTCTAGGTCTGCCTCGAACATGTCTTCTAGACGCAGAATCCTCAGATTCAAACTGATTCCATAGTCTGTGGACCACACTACGAGAGACATCGAGACGTCTAGCAGAATCCAGCTTGTGAAATCTCCGTTTCCATTCATCCGATCGCCTACCACCTCAACGAATCGGGCAAGCGACTTGTTCTGGATACTGTCCATGAAACTGTAATAAAAACTGAGGATCAACACTCGTAAACAAAAATTGCAATTTTTGCATATTTTCTCCAACTCCTATATAAGTATTCATTTCCACAAAATAAAAGTCATAGCTATTGTTTTTACACATATTTTCTTTAACTTTGTTACTGTCATGCATATAACTGTGAATTCGTTACTGCCATGCATTAAAATGTGAATACTGACATTTTTGTAGTGGTGAGCTTTGAAAAGCATGCGATCACTTAACTTTTGGAGGGCAGTTAATAAGTCACATGTGATTACTTGCATACTGCATAATAAGTTTGACTATCAGGGGAAGATGAACAGGATGTGGAGGTTGGAACCTGACACTGAAATAAGTAATCACGCCTCAAGCGTATTGCTACTTCAAAGTTTTCCATGTACTGCAATTTCTTTCTTGTGGGGTTCAGTGAAAGACCTCGTGTATATGCGTACTTTGCCGAAACAATTCCAGAACTCAAAATGCTCATATCTAAAGCACATGCGTTTAGGATTCCAGGTATGCTTCAGAATATATGCCGTGAGATGACGTACCGCTTATATGTTGTCCTTGTTACCAAGAGGAGTCATTTATAACATTTATAAAGCATGTAAGCAATAGCTTGAACTTCCTTTTACACTCCGTGCAAATCTTGTCGATAAATTCTTTTTAATAAAATAGTTATAGTCATTTGTGTTCGCTACATTCATTTTGAATCACCCATATAATCTTAAGTGAGCAAAAGCTCCATATAAGTATATTATTAAACACAGATCAGTACTCCATAAGGTTTCAGAGGAATCTTTAGTATGTGTAAGGCTTTATAACATTTTCCCTTTAAAAATATGGTATGTGAATGAAAGATGAGTTTACATCTTTATTCTAGAGAATTTGAAACCATCATTTTATTGGATCCATTATTTTTTTTCAATGGCAGATTGTAAACAATTACAAGTGTAACCCACTCCATTCATCTACACAAGGCCGGATGTGGTGGTCTCTTTATTATAGAGACACCTAATAGGTGGGCCACCATAGCCTTTCCTATGAAGAGACGGACAGTTACAACCATGCCTTCTCCGGGATTCGAACCCAAGCCCTTCGGTATCGCAGTCAGCTTCCCTGATCACTATACCATCTGGGCGGCTGTTGGATCCGTTATTAATGATTTTAAAGGATGCTGCAGTTATCTGTCTATATGTTGTATATAATTATGTGATGAAAAATGTATCTGTAAAAAAACTAGTCGCAAAGAGCCATTAATTACAGAATAGGTTTCTTAAAATACGGTAAATTTTAAAACTAAATATTGGGGCATAGGTTACATGAGTAGGCTACCAGGTTTTGAATAAATATGGCTGCCGTTGCCCACTTGGTAAGATGATTAATGAACTCGGATCTTCGAATCTGTGATGAAACAAGACCATTTTTTTATGTTTGGTGTGTATATGGATTACGGATATTTAAACCTGTTCCAATGAAAGTCCGATTGATGAGGCTATAATACAAAAATAGGGGCCCAAACTGTCAGCAAAATTCCTACAATGTCCGGATTATATTACATTGGATCGGAAAGAGATGGTATTGGCAGAAGTGTAAATGTCAAATGTCATGGCTAACGTCAATGTGCACTGTTATCCTAAAAATGAATATCAATGGACATCAAGCTATCGAAAGCAATAACCAGTGCTTAATTTCTAAAATTGAAAGTGCCGCAGCACTATAGAAAACTGCGAGGAACAAAAGAAAAATAAATAAAAATTAATATAATTGAATAATTAAATTTAAATTAAAAGAAATGTAGAGAAATAAAGAGAAATCTAAAAAATTATTGAATTAATTTTAAATAGTTAAATAAAAAATTATCGGACTTCGTCTTATCTGGGCCTTCTCGCTGAAATTACAATTCTACTCAGAAGCTAAGAAGAAGCTGGCTCCGTCTTATGTAGCAGCACTATTTCAAGGGATGACACATACCAAGAAAATTTTAACGGAAAGGTATAGCTTTAAAAATGAAAAGGGAAGAGTTCGACACATTCTGATCCCGATGCTTTGTCGATATAATTCTAACCGTCAAGAACTTTTTCCTGAATACGATCTAATAACAACATGAGAATAAACGTAATACTTTTCTGTACAAGTGACATCATTGGTCCCCCCCCGTTTCGTTACATCATTTGAAAAGTCTACAGGAGCTCTGCAGTAGGAAGACCCTAGTGTAGAACGTACACGAGACCAGGCTATCACTTTTAGTAATTTCAGGAATATAAAATTTATCCGCTCTTACAAATTCATTGCATATCCTGGAGAATAAGCCTTTGAAATATGATTAGGAGCTTTTCTTACCTTAAAAGTCTCAAACTCCGTGCAGGGTTTGAGTGAGAGGAAAAAACAGTCCTGCATTCAGAACTTAGAAGGGATTTTTAAAGCATGTTTACTATGAAAACAAAATTTGTCTGTTAAAACAATGGTTTCTTGACATAAAAAAAGTGTCGAAGCCTTTTTAGGCCTCCGGTGCGCTCCGGCTGAAATTATAATTTATCTAGAAATCTGAGAAGTTCCGCAGCCGGGCTCAGGTGGGCTCCGTCGCAATTTAATCTCTGGCAATAACAAACATAACTACTTCCTCAAACCATTAATTTTATTAATGATTTGAGGAGTAATTAATTGATTCATTAGTCAATTAATTTATAATTAATTGTCTTAACTTTAAATGTCGATGTGTTGCTATTATTTTTGTATAATATTTCATTTATTATTACGCATTCACCTCTGATTTTTTTTCAGCATCTTGCAATGATGATGACTGTAAAAATGGCGGAAATTGTACTGAATTCGGAAGCTCCACACTATGTGACTGCCTGCCAGGAACATCAGGAGATTACTGTTCTGAAATTGCGGATTGCAAGATAGATAATTTTTGCGGTTCCGACAACGATTCGACGTGCCTGTATTACAGTTTCCAAAAGAAAGCTGTCTGTCAATGCTCGAATATAAAAAAAAATTAATTACAAGGAGAAAATCTGCAAAGGTAAATTCTTCGAGTTCTGTTTTATACAACTAAAGAACTGAACGTTCGAGAAGAAAGATAGTTCATGTAAGATTATTATTTACAAATGCTTCTTAGAATTATAGAGTTTGGCAGTGTCTGTCATAAAATGTAAATTTCATCTTAATAATTGTCATTTACATTAAGATTTTAATTTTCGGAATTTCTCTGGAGAAATTCTTTTTATGGGAAAAAATCGGTGGCTTATGAGAAAGATATAACTAAAAAAACTTCATAAAATTCAAAAGGAAAAATAATATTCTTATGCTGCTAAAGTTAAACAATTCATAAATAACTTTCTTGTCTAAATATTCATGAACCAATATTTTGTGCCCGTTCTTTACACTGTCCATCGACAGTTAACTGCGCCGCCAGTTTTAAAATATCACGAGTTTTGCCCACTATCCTTAAAATAATAACCTTTCTTCAATTTTCTGATATCGAAAAATTCTGAAAAGGCTCTAAAAATGGCCACCGAAAAATAAAAGTTTGTGGATGATAATTCATTCACCACTAAGATTTAGTTACTGCGTCCTCTAATCCCCAGTCTCCTTTAAACTCTGAAAATATGTGAACAGCACATATGATGTACATTAATATACCCAGTTGATATTGCTCAGTATAATACATCAGAATAACTTTTTATATCCAAGTTACCACTGACTTCCAGAGTAAACATTCTCTGTAAACTCAGAATCACGATACATAAAACATTGCTAAAATCCTCATTCTGCACAGTCAAAATCTTGACAGGGTCTCTTTAGTAACAACAGGTCACAAATACCCATCTTCCGGAAAAACTCTATAAATTCCGCTACAAATTTTAATATTCCATATATATTTGTGGCTACGCCTAGAGACAATAAACTGCTCTACCAATTGAGTGCAATGCTGATAGTTCATATAACAGGTGGTACAACAACTCAGCTGATGGTAAGTAAATAAGTCTCCTTTGAAAGGGAAGCAATATGAGGTAGTTACTCCCTCCTTTACACATGTCTTTGGGGTGTAACCGGATGCACCCTCTCGGGAAGTCTTGAGTTTGAATCCCGGAGAGTTCATTGTACATCTTTTCATGTTCTAGCTTTCGTATTAGCCAGGGGTCTCCAAACTACGGCCCGCGGGCTGGCTCTCCAAAAGTGTCAATAATCCAGCCCACGACAGATGACAGGTGAATGCAGGGCCGTACACTCGAACGGCTTTGTATGACAAATTGGGTGTCGTCCGGGTCCCGCACCATCTAGAGCAGCACAGCCCTCGAGGGAGAGTCGTGTTAAGGGCATCTGCCTCAAAACACAACAAAAATAACCTCGCGGGCATCTATCCCGGCGCCCGCGAGCGCTACATCGGAAATTTATTAATGCAGAATATGAGGTTTTTGACGTGGCCAAACAAGGGCGTTTGCATATATACTTCAACATACAATTAATAATCATTTGCATGCATAGGTAGACTGTTTGGTATAGGTACATTGGATACATATATACATTGGCCTAAATAGTTAATGAGCTAGGCAAATACTAAACACCTATACATTAATAGAAATGATACACTGATAATGTTACTTGTGCATTAAAAGCAGAAGATAAAAAAATAATGATCACACGTAATCGTGTATCATTCTGAATGGCTATACATAAACTACTAGAAATGATATACACTTATGCATTGATAGCAATGATATTCTGACAATGACACTTGCACAGTAATATGAATTAGGACGATAAATGAAAAACATAATCATGAATAATAACTCGGTTTTATATACTTGTTAGGCAAAGCTTAACAAGTATATAGTAAGTGTCCATTTGTAAAAAATATTAATGAGATTTACGTAATTGTGATTTTTCACTGACAGTAGTTTGTATTTGTGGACCAATATTTCGTGAACCAATTATTAAAGGAAATTTGAGATGCTCATCGGTTAATTTAGATCTGTAAACATTCTTTGTGCACTTCATTTTGGAGAATGTTTTCTCACACAAGTAAGTAGTGCCAAAAACAGAAAACAGCCCACGAACAAATTTATGAAAATGACCAAATTGTAAAATCAAATTTTAAATTATCTAAAGACTCATAAAACTCCATCAAAGATGAGTTGGATATTTGTTCTTAATTATATCACTGCGCTGTAAATCAATAACTTGCATTTGAATTTCCAGGGCTTGGACTTCAAGGTCAGAATCAAAAGGATTTTAAAAAATCTTAATTTCATTCGCAATGATATCAAAATCTGAGAAAACGAGTATCAAAATTTATCTCCAAAGCACTCAAAGCTTCGATTGCAAAATCGACGGGAAATTCAGTCTCAGTAGTGAGGCTCAATGTTCCAGATGTTTTAAAATGTGTGAAACATTTTTTACGTAATTGTCATTATTTTCTGCTGATGGATCGATTTGGTATTAGTGTATAAATCAGGAAGAAGCTGTTTTTCTCCATGTAATCTTAAATTTAGCTCGTTCATATGTTTTGTCAAATCTATATAGAATGCTAACTTAAACCGTTAGCGTATAGAGGGTACACTTATTTCCGATTTTGACCACCAGATGTCCTTAAAATTAGGGACGCGCACTGAACAAGGGTTTTGGCCATCGGAAATTACGCGAGGAATCAGTATGGCGCTAAGGCTGAAAAGTTTGGAGACCCCTGGTATAACCCAATGACTCTATAACTTTCACTAATAAATTAAGAAATGGCGAGAAGGAGCCATTTGCAATATACTTTAAAAGCCGCGGATTGCATTAAAAGCGCATTGTGTAAAAATTTACGAATGCAAAATAAGCAGCGTTTCTGATCGGAAATGGAAAACCGTCAAACATTATATTTATAACGAAGAAAGCCTCCACAGGATCCAACCCGCCAAAGATAAGTACTGTTTTTAATTATCAGATGGAAAATTTCTTGAAATCTTCCGGCGCAAATGGCTGCAAAGTCTTTAAAAATTTCTGTAGTAGCAATAGACAAAATAATAAATAAAGATTACAGTTTCAAAAAGCAGAGGGTCGAGAAATTATAAACATTAGTCAAGACAAGTTCAACTAAGTTAGTTCAACTAAATAAGTACGTACATTAAAGTAAGGAAATCTTATTAATTTATTTCGAAAGCGAGGAGAAAAGCACGTACAAACGTGCGTGCAATATTGCAAAGAAAATTTCATTAAGGTGTTCGTTACTGTTGTGTAGAGCTTACGGGCTGCAAGTTGAAGCTTTAATGGGTGCCTTCCTCGAGCTTAACAAAACCAGTGAAGAGGATATGTCAACCTATGGCATGTGAGGTATAAAAATGAACAGTTGGAGTTGAATAACTTGACTGGTTTTGCTCAGGTACTTGGCTGTAACGATTCATATAATTATAAATTAAATACAAAGAAAGTGCTCGTACGAACTCATGATATTATTATGAAAATGTTTTGTGTCTGTTTGTACCGAAAAATAGAAAAAAATAAAAAACAGAAAAAATTAAATCTTTTTTACTTCCTTGTACGAAGTAAAAAGGAAGTATTGTAATCACGAAAAGTTTCAGGCAGCATATTTCATTGAAAATATCCATTTTGACCGCTATCGAATGCAACGGAACGATATTTTAACGTGACATCTGTTCCTAAGGACAGAATAAAGGACTCTTTTCCTCTAAACAAATTATAAAACTACTTAAAAATGAATTCTGAAGAAAATTTTTTGTGGTGTCTGTACGTGCGTATATATCTCGCATAACTCAGAAACGAGCAGACTCAGAACGTTGAAATTTTTTATATAGGACTGCTACAACATAGAGATATGCACCTCGTATTTTGGTTGCAATCGGCCGCACCAAACGTAATATATATATATATATATATATATATATATCTATAATCCACTCTGTCACCCGGCTCAGTGATCTCAGCTTCTTTACCCTTATATGTTTGTAAATTGTGTATTTTTTGCTTTAAAAATGATTCAACTACGTTGTTCTTATCTTTCGGTTAACGTTTTTATGCTTTTAGGGAATCTGCAAGCAATATTTGTAGAATTATCAACAATTTAAAAGCTGTTTAAGTGCGGTTAAACCTATTCTTTAAATAACATGGCAGACATGTTTGTTTACATTTGAAACATCAGAATAGTAGATTTGTGGCGAATCGAGAGAGACTAAACTTCGCAACAACAAAGATAACGCCTTCATTTATTATTGCGAATTAAATCATGCTTAATCCTTTCTGGAATTTTTTCGAGGAAATAAGTGTTTAAGATTTACTTCGTAAATTTTAATATAGATATTTTGAGTTTTTATGTATTTTTGCCTGGTCGCGAAGTGAGAATTGAATTAATTGAATGAGAAATACTGAATCGTCTGTGAAAAACTGTTTCTTTTTGGTTTTATTTGCTTAATTTCTTTTATGCATCATTGTAACTTTATTATAGTATTTGAATAGAACATGTGGCAACGATAAGATAATTCTCCAAATGATATAAATTTTGTGCATTCTGATTATAATTGAAAAATATAACGCTGTTAAGTGAACCTAGCGCCAGAGTGTCGCTATGGTAAACAAATATAGTGAATTTTAAAGAGTGCATTTATTCTATTGCATCTTATGCGCTATCGACGAAGTTGATTTAATTCAATCCAATAAGTTTAAATGAAATGCAAGACAAAATGCGCATAATTTAATATTCCGTACAAGGAAGTCATGTGGTGTGCACATCAGATTTTTTTAATTGCAAGAAAACAAAGCCACCGGTATATATTGAGCTCTGTTTATGCATTCATAAAAAGTATGAAGACTGTTATTACTCTATTATGTATATATTTCGAATGTCGAAACTCCAAAACATTTGACCTATAATGTGCCTGTAATCTGCTGAAAAGAATTCTTCCCAAACGCGGACCTACCATGATTGACGGATTCAGAAAAGTAGTTAACACATTGAGCGCCACGCGTATTTCTTAAGCAATCCCGTTCAGGCCACGCGCGCCGCTTAAAAGCCCTGGTATTGTAGGTCAGGAGTAATGGTCGGAAAAAAGACTAAGAGAGTTGTCACATTTTGTATTAGCAGTAATGGAGAACCGTTTTTATATTTACCGTGTTTCAATGAAATCCATTAGTCCTGTATTGAATCAAAATTAAGTAAATTTTAAATAAATTTTCTGTAAAGTGTAAATTTTATAGTTATATATCATGATACACGCTGTCAGTCAGCGGCGGTCGGCGCGGCCTACACGGAAAGTCTAGTGTCGGCCACAGATGGCTGACGCGACCTAAACGGAAAGTCTAGTGTCGGCCACAGATGGCTGACGCGGCCTAAACGGAAAGTCTAGTGTCGGCCACAGATGGCTGTCGTGGCCTAAACGGAAAGTCTAGTGTCGTCCACAAATGGCTGACGTGGCCTAAACGGAAAGTCAAGTGTCGGCCACAGATGGCTGACGCGGCCTAAACGGAAAGTCAAGTGTCGGCCACAGACGGCTGACGCGGCCTAAACGGAAAGTCTAGTGTCGGCCACAGATGGCTGACGCGGCCTAAACGGAAAAGTCTAGTGTCGGCCACAGATGGCTGACGCGGCCTAAACAGAAAGTCTAGTGTCAGCCACAGATGGCTGACGTGGCGCTCAACGTGTTAAACAGAAGTGGCTGGAAATATCCCAGACACTTGCGCTACGACTAAACTTCACGGTTGCGGTGCCGTGCGCTACAATATAACATTTACGCCGCTCCGCGTCTGCGAGTGCAATCCAGAGCTGTAACTCGGGAAATAAACAATGTCGTTGTTAGGCGACGTGTGCACCACGCTATTTTCATTTGTGCGATAAATGCCTATCGACGTGGTGTTCACGTCGCTCGCGGTGTGAGACAAAAGCATCTCGACGTGCGTGGCACATCTTTTTAGCGCAAATGGTTAAAAATTTTGCAAAAATGTCGTGTAAATGCCATTCACATTTTTAGTTATAAAAAAAGGTCATAAACTCAAACTTTTGCTTAATAAATATTTACATTTTAAATATTAGTTAAAATATATAAATATCTATCTAAATATGAATCAATAGTGTTAGTATTTATTTAGTATTATAATTATTACTGTTCTTCTAAAAGTGTCTTACAATTTCTGTATTTGTTTCATATTCCAGAAATTATTATATCTATAATTTCGCAATATTTTCAGAGTCGTGTTACGATACTGAGTGCGAAAATGGTGGTAACTGCACTTTAGATAGAGATTACAAATTCTGTGAATGCCTGCCAGGAACAACAGGTGACTACTGTTCTGAAATTACGGAGTGCAAAAAAGATAATGTTTGTGCTGCCGACAAACACTCGACCTGTGCGTTTGACACTCTTCAAATGAAAGCTTTCTGTCGGTGTTCGAATCCTATTAAGAAATTTGATTACAAGGATCAAATTTGCAAAGGTAAATTTATTTAATTCCAAAATCTGCTAAGGTGTTGCTACGAAATTGTATATAGATTTTAGTGCAGTTATATGGGAAATTGTTGTATTTTTCTGTTTAAAGTGGGCAAGTGCATTTAACATTGACTAAATGGGTATCTCGGTAATTTGGCGAGATATTGCCAAAGTTGACAAAAACTTTGTCGCCACATTTGGTCACCATTTGGCGACATTTTGATCCTGTCCCTGTATCACCGCAGTATGTATTAAAAATGAATAAATGTAATTGACCACTGTGTTAGCTGTAACCGTAATTCCACTCATATTGCTTTCTAGTAATTTCGAGAAGCAGAAAGTATTAGATATATCTCGGCGGCCGGTTGAAAACTATGTAAGGCCGGAGACAGACCATCTGCGCTCAGTTGTTTAGTTATTTTTATTAGGAGTTGTTAGTTCAGGGTGAATTGAGCTCTCTCTGGGTTAGATTTTCCTTTGGATGCGCTTTGCATTGTTTGTGTTTAACGTTCTTAGTAGTTTGAAGTGTAAATACTAATTATACTCTGTGATACCGCGAATACCTGTCCCAGTATTTCTGAGGAAACTTCCAGAACAGTTTTTTTTTTAAATAAATTTTATTAACCTCTGTCATCGGATCCGTGTGCATTCAGTGTATTACAAACTCGCACGTACGCAACAGAGTATTTATTTAATTCCACACTTTTGAAGGCGAAAATCTGCAAAGGTACATTTATCCGACCTCGTACAGGGCCCACCAGCGGCCGAGCGGTAACGTCGCTGAACACGGTCCGAGGTTCGAATCCCGCGAACGGGCTGGCTGCATGGGTGTTTTCGTGGTTTTCCCCATGTGTAACGTGTATACGAGCCAGTTTCCCTTAAAAAGTCCTCCACGAAAGCATCAATCCCTTAAGGCAGATAGCCCTCGAGTGCTTTGCCGTAAAAAACCAGCCAACCACCGACCTCGTCAAAGACGATTTTGTCAAAGTCGATTTTTACTTTATTATTATCTTAAAGAATACATCTTTGGCTATCAAATACAAGTTTTCTGCTTGTTGATAGGTAATTGAACTGAAGTTATAAAGTTCCCAATATTCTGGACCGGAAGTGAGCGTTTAAATAGATATACCTATTAAGAAACCTTATTTATTATCAGGATTTTGTAAATTATAAACCTTCGCACTAAGTTTAGATATTTTGTAATACGTTTTAAGAATCTGGCGATAGTTTTTTCAGTTAATTTCGTATTTAGTTTGGCGCAGAGGGTATTCGGCGTTGAATGGATGTATTGCTGCTTTACGGTACATAATATAAGTTGTAAAAGATTAGATCAAACATTTGTGCAATAAATATTTAGATTTTATAATTTATGCCACCAGCATCTCAGCCGTCTTAAAAATGCACCATTACCCTCTGTATTTATTCCATATTTTAAGTGTCACTAGTCTAAGCGTCATTTGACTGTATTTGATATACTATATATAAATATATCTCCAATTTTGCAATGCTTTCAGAGACATGTCAAGAAGAGAACTGCGAAATTGGTAGTAAACATTTAAAGCCCTCAGACAAATAATTTGCATTCGAGTGAGGCTTACAGGAAGAACAAAATAGCAAAGGTTTTTAAATAATAGTAATTGTTTAATAATATAAAATACCTTTAAAACCTAACTGTTGCTGTGCCTTTAACGCTCTGAAAAGAGCTTTTCTTAACTGCGAATCTACCGCGATTGCTGGACTCAGAGAAAGAGTCAAAGACAATGAAATCCAATATCCGCTGGAAATTTTGCAAACGGCTCTTATCTCGTGGGAATCACGATGCACATTTCAAATTCTGAGAAAGAATAAGTATAAGAAATTTGCATAATAAACATTTAGTTTTATACATCATTTAAACAGCCCTGCCAGTTATCGCCCTCTATATTTATTTTATATTCTAAGTATTATTATTCTAAAAACATATAAGGTATTTTCTCCCTCCTTCCAGCATGCCTTCGTGGTGTAACGGTAGCACACTCGGCGCGTATGCGAGAGGTCTAGATTCGAGTCTTGTCCAGGGCACTGGACATTTTTTATGTCTCCTGCTTAAAATAACCTAACATCTCTACAAATGTATACATAACTTGTGTATTTATATCGATGTAGTATGTTATTATATCTCCGATTTTCAATGTTTTCAGAACCGTGTCAAGAAGGTGAGTGCAAAAATGGTGGTAATTGCACCGAACACGGAGATTCGAAATATTGTGAATGCCTACCAGGAACCACTGGAGACTTTTGCTCTGAAATTACGAAATGCAAGAGCGAGAATTTTTGTGGCATCGACGAAGATGCTATGTGTGCGTACGATACTCTGCGAATGGAGGCTACCTGTCAATGTTGGTATTCTAGTAAACAATTTGATTACGAGAAGAAACTCTGCAAAGGTGAGTTCCAGATTCTTCCAATTCTATTCATTATCATGTCAAATTTACCTGAAACATTAATTTCTTGCCAACATATGTATTTTATATACTGATTCTGATTTCTGTAATTTTGATGGCATGTTTAATTTCCATTAACCCTTATGCTTAAATTATGCATGGTATTGGAAGAATATTATTTTAATTAGAAAAAGGTGATCTAAAGTTATATGTGAAAACGTATTTAGTTAGTTTTGAATTTTAATTTAGTGGTGCTGAGAGTTTTGGAGCGTGTGAAACCTGGTTCCTTTCAAAAAGGACATACGTGCTGTAAGTTTGACATAAACTTTAATGGACGCTTTCCTCGAGCTTAACAGAACCAGTGAAGAGTATTTGTCAACCTATGGCATGTGAGGAATAAACCTAACATGAACCAGTTGGGAGTTCAATAACGGGTGATTAGCTTGACTGGTGTGTGGTCAGGTACTTGGCTGCAGTAATTCCACACGATACTTCATATAAATGCTGTCCGGAACATTTAGCTATATTTCTATTTGCACTGTAATCTTCAACAGATCCTTTTCACGTCAGGATGCTGTACATCAGGTCCCCATAACACGCTCCAGACAATTACAGCTACTCGCTACGTCAATAAACAGAACCGTTGGGAGGACACACGGAGACACCTTCTTCGCTTCTACTGGGGAACCGTTGAAATTTATGCACCTTCAGCACTGGGCAGGCGCAAGGTAAAAATGCAAATTTCTCAACATTTAGATAGTAATTTATATAAATAATATACACAACGCAGTTTCATTGTTATTATAACACGCTAGGTTTTCTATTGATTTTTATGTCGTATCAAGGAGGAAATTTTGAAACGGCATCGTTTGAAATAAAATACAGAGAATTTCAAAACCTACCATGTTTAGTTGAAAATACTCTTGATATTCGACACAAATTTCATCAAATTCTGCTTGAGAAGAAGCTTAATCACGTTTTAAGGGGCATACCAGCCAGATATTTCTAAGACAACAATTAACGTATCTTTGGAAGGCTGTGTGTGTGTGTGTGTGTGATTATGGCAAAGCCTCGAGGGCTATCTCGCCTAAGAGGAGGGATGCCTTCGTGGAGGACTTTCTAAGGGAAATTGGCTCGTATACAAGTTACACTGGGGAAACCACGAAACGCCCATGCAGCCAGCCGTTCGCGGGATTTCGACCCTTTACCACTACCTGTTCAGCGACTTTACCGCTCGGCCGCTGGTGGGCGTCTTTGGAATTCAGATAATATATGAGATAAAACTTCATCTATTAATAATTCAGATGTTTTAAAGGATGATATAAATGCACATGCGAGAAGGTTAACAGAAAAGCTAGTGAATGTTATTTTGTAATGGAATATTTGTAAAATTTTAGAAGGTAAATATAAAACGCTTGGCAACAAATAAAGTTTAATTTTTGCAATGACAAAACTGTAGGATTATGAAAGAGTAAAGTCGAGGGATATAAATATCTGATTACAGTGTAATTATTTAATCTTTTATCCGCAATTTTTGCTAATTAGACTTACATGGAATGCTATTCTAGTTCTCTATTACAATCCCCACGAAACTTTGTGGAATTCCCAAGCAAACGTGAATACGGGAGAAGGTAAGTATAGCATAGCTTAACTGCGCGAATCCCCATGAAAAGGAAACATAAAGCTGTGGATGGCTGCACTCTCATATCGCAAATGCAACCTGTGCGAGAGGATTGATTCATTCTATCGTTAACAATTCTTATATTAAATGCGTCCTTAAATTTTATATATTCATACTGGAAAACTCGAGTACTTTACGCTCATTATATTACCTATTTCAAGAAACGTGAAAATTTACCTCACTTTCGGTTGTTTTAAAGTTTCGTGTATTTAATACGGAATGTATTGCTCCACCACGTAAAGGGCTCAGGGTACTGTGCGCTTGTCATGATATGTGTCGTTTGATAAATACTTAAACCTTATCTACATGAACGATATAGTTACCGCAACATCAGATTTACAGACCACTTTATGATCGCGATGGCAAGTCGTGTAATATATGTGTAAAGCTTCTGGTGTCTCTTTGTATGCACTGGTTCTAAAAAGCAAAATTGCAGCACGTTCAGTAAAACTATAATCTTTTTATTTCTGCTAGAAGACTCTAGGTTAACGTGGGTTCTCTTTCTGTCGCTTTACATTCCTCGAAACAGTTACTTACCACAGGTACAGGTAAAAGCATAGGGGACACCAGCGATGTACCATGAGTCAGCTGATAATGCCTTCTCGTACTAACTAATTCTTAACAAAGAAAAAATGATGCTTGCTTTATAAGAATTGTTACTGCTTTTATCTTTATAAGAATTTACAAAGAAAGGTTGAAGAAATGGGCAACTGAAGCTTTCTAAATGATATAGTGTTTACTATTATGGTACATCATTCAAATCCCACACCGTACGGCCCGCATCCAGCATTTATTAAAAATAATGATCTAGGGCATAGAGAGATTAAAATATAGTCTCAATACAATTTGAAATTCACAAATTAAATTGGAAATCTGTTTTAGGTAACAAAAATAACAAGTAAACATAACTAATGTACAGATAAACAATGTTATAATAGCCCCTTAACTGTAATAATAAATCTTAATCAGGTACGTGTCCATGCGGTTATTTCAGTGATAAAAGTTTATTGCATTTGATTAAGTTTACAAGTAGAGTTACTTCGTATATATACACAGGATTTAAAATTCACTAAATTTATGCAGCATGAGAACTTGTAGTTGAAAAAAATCTAGGCCGTAGGAAGAAAGTCGTCGCATAATTTTTTGAAACTTCAGATACTGATGTTTATCTATAATTAGAAATTTTTGGTATGCAATGAGATGAGTTTATGAGGGGTTTTATGTGAAGTTTGGGATTTCTCTGTTCCCCACATATACAGATATTACTACTTGCTACAGTGAGAATTGCAGTTCACTCAATGTTCCAAACAGATCGTAAACTTCGAGGATTCTCGCTCATTCTCCTCATTCACTCAGTGTCAGACATACCTCAGTGCTTCTTTATAACCATATATAACAGAAAATTTCCTGACGCCGCTGCTTGTGGCTTAACAGCTGCATTATTTTAATATAAATAGTTATTATAATTTAAATCTTTACTATCACTTCTTTTGTTTCCGTACCAGAATGCAAATCAGTTTAGTTTGAGAGTGTAATATTCGAGGTTTTAGAATTGTATGACACGGCGTGTTTCAAGCCACGTTACTGGATTTAACCAGCTGTGATATGATTTGAATTTTCGGCTTTGTGTTATAGCTGCCATCGTTTAAAATTATTATGCCATTGAGAAGGTTTGAGACAACTTCATGTTAAATCAATTAGCGTATGCTTTGACTATCAGACTCAGTTTTAAATTAAAACTAAAGTTATTTTAAGTTACATTGAAAGAAGTGGTTGGTTATCTTATTAAACCCAAGACGTGCACTTTATGTTCAGTGTTCTTGGTTGATAAAAAGATTATTTTGTAATCTTCTCAAGTCTCTGCCGTTATCTTCAAGTAGCTGTAATTCGTTCCATGTCTGTGAGGAATTTGGATACCAGTTTATGTTAAAAAAGAATACCACATTCTATATATGTAATACTCAGAGACACAACATGTTAGTAGGCAATCCCATCCATGCTCTGCACCAAATTGCTTACGAAATATTCACTCCTGTATAACACTTATGCCACCTGGAAAGTATCTCTGAAACTTTGAGGCGATTATCATAAGGAGGTCGAAGAGCTTTGTATGTCAGTACTCTGTTCTGATCAATTTCAATTACAGTTTACGTAATGTTATTTTTCTTTTATAATTTACATATTATTGTAATTCCTGTTTTTAAGGTTTTTTTCCTGTTTTTGAAGTCATGAACTGCGATAATGGCGGCAATTATATTGTAAACATTAATCAAACTGCTCTGAAGTTGTTCTAAATATAAGTTGATATCATTAGTGTTTATTTAATATTGCCGACATTATTATTCTAAAAATGTCTCAGTATCTCTTTATTTATTCATATCCTAGAGATTATTGTATAATTTAGTAAACCTTTCAGAACCATGTCAAGAAAATGACTGTCAGAATGGCGGAAATTGCACAGGACACGGGGATTTCAAATTCTGTGAATGTCTGCCAGGAACAGCTGGCGATCATTGCTCTGAAATTACGGAATGCAAGAAAAAGAAATATTGTGGTACCGATATATACTCGACGTGTACGTATGATACTCTTCGAATGGAAGCTGTGTGTCAATGCCTGTATCCTCGTAAGCAATTTGATTACGAGGAGGGAATCTGCAGAGGTAAACTCCACATTCTCCCCGTTCTGTTTAACAATAAGGACGTAACAGAACTTTTATTGAAAAAAGTACTTCATGTAAAGTTATTATTTTACAAATGATTCTTATCAGAAAAGGATTTATAGTTTAGTCCTTAAAATAGTAATTCTTACATTGAAAAATTTATTTCGCATGAAGTTTTTAATTTTTGAAATTTCTATTTCATGATTATTTTCTCGGAAATAAGTGGGTGTCTTAAGTGCAAAGTTATTATTAAAAACTTCGTAAAAGCCAACAAGAAATATGATAATCTTACTTTTCTGTAAAATTACATTGAACTACTTCCCGTCAAATTTATATGATTAGTATTTAATCCTGGCGTTACTGTTCACTCTAACTGATATTTTTCTCACGATTTTATAATACAGTGTGTCCCACTCAAAAGAGTCCTGAAAATGTTATAAAGTCTTATAACAAGAAGAATGAACCCAATGTTTACGTGACATACCTTTATTTTGAGAAATAAAGTGTATTACGAGGGCACTGTAGTGATCTCTTCCCATCTTTACACACGTTCACATAGGGCATTGCTGTTTCCATATGTTTCTGTCAAATATTGCGCGCCACTGGCGGGTTTCACGGCCGATGTTTTCAGGTAACATGTCGAAGGTGCGTTGTTTTTGCTTATACCTCATTAATTTTAAGAGACCCTATAAAATTCCAAGGTACTCAATTTTGGAAAAATATTTCCACCGCAGTCATACGGGGTATAGACGTGTGCCATCTTGCCCCATCTTCCTGGTACCAGCCAAGTGTCAGCTCATCATCAACCAGCTGTTCACAAATTCATGAAAGAGTGCAGGTACGCTTCACTGTTGACCAGTGTAAAAAAACATTGGCCCAATGATGCGCTGCTGTGATAATGTACAGAATACGCTTATCTTAATACGTGAGTGAAGTGGTTCCTCGACGACTGCTAACTGGTTCACACTACTCCATAAACGCGTGTTTTGTTAGTTCACATATCCTGAGAAATTGAACAAGTGATATAGCTTCATCGCTATATCACTTGTACTCTGGCAGCAATATACACAAAAATGAAAGACGATTTTGAACTGTGTATACATATGGTGGAATTCACTTTCAGCAGCTCTTGTAATGTATTTTCATTTCTCAAACAACAAGGCATATCATGTAAGAAATTGGTTTCCTTTCCTCTTGTTATAAGAATTTTATCGCATTTTTCCCGCGGCCCCTTTCGAGTGAGACAATCTATATCATGAGTTTTGGTCCATTAGCTGTTTGTTACCTTAAAATAATGTACGATATTGCAGTAATATTAGTCAGATTCGAAAAAGGCGGTAAAGCTAATAATTAAATGAAGTACAGTGTACTCTCGATTATCCGGTGTAATGTCGGTAAAGCGGGTCACGGGTAATTGACAAATACGGATAACCCAAATTATCAATTTTCATGCTTATTGTTTATTTCCTTAAAAATGTCATTGGCTGCGTATTTTTTGAAGTGCTATTTTATTATTGTATTCGAGTCCCGTTTGGTCAACGAAGTTCAACAGTGTTTCAACAAATTCATTGCTCTCGCGAGACTAGTGTAGCGAGACTCCAAATATCTTTCTAAGCTTGAATTTTCAGCATCG